TATATATATAATTTTTTTTTTTTTTAAAAGAATGTGTGATTGAAAAAGAATTAAAAGTTTTTTATTTATCTATAATCTTATTTTATGGAATATTGTGTGGTTGAAAATAAGATAAAGGAAAAAAATGAAAGAGAATGAGGCTAAAGGGGAGCTGAATTTAGTAACACATGAAAGAAAAAAAAAATTTAATGTCAAATCAAGCTTCTTTTTCTTTCTTCAGTTAGATCACATATTTGTAACTTTCCTATAATTTTAGATGATGATGTTTTATGTTATCATTTAGTCAAAAGTAGATCTCTCTCTCACACACACACACAGAGACATACATATATATGGAACGTTCTTCCTACACATGAATTTGATAAATAATCGTGACCATTATGTGTAAAAGGAACGCTCCTCATATAAATACACCCTATTTAGACGGTGTATGTTATTAAATTTTATCACAAAATTGAACTTTTTCCATGGATTTAACAAATTGAAGTTCAAGAATTAAGAAGAAATTACACAAGTAAATGAACTTCTTGAGTAACTCGTGGCTTAGAGCAGTCATTATAAATTACATCAAAGCTTTATAGACATTTTGGTTGTAAGTAAATATGGCTGATAAACACTCATTATAGCCATCTTCAAATTAGAATCATTCACATACTCCTCGTCTAGACATTCATTGCAGCAGAAAAGATTGCTGCTGAAAAAATGATAGTAAACTTATTTATGAGCTTGATAAGATGTTCAAAAGTAAACCTGACTTGCTTTTAAGATTAGCCAAACGTGCTTAGTGCCTCATAATTAATAAAAAAAAGTTTTCTTTAATATTGTTGAATACTAACTATCCAACTTATACTCAACCAAACATGCGAAAGGTGAACAAGCCAAGCGATGCATTCAACTTCTAGCTTATATTGCAGTGCAGACATCCCAATCACAGAGATTTATGGATATTATACACAAGAAGCTATATAACATTTGCAGCTGACAAGAACCCCATAAATGACAACAGAATGAACATGTGAACATCATTCTTGATTAATCTGTTTCCAAAACTCTCCATGGGAAAATTCTTATAAATGAATTATTTGCTGCTATTACTAACCAAAATAAAATATAAAAATTACCATAAATATGTAGTATTAAACACAAGTTAATAAAGCGAACAAAATTTTAGCAATGTGCCGATCATGCTAGTGGCGAATTGTTTCTCATGTGTGAAGCACTCAACCTTTTACAGTCACATCAATTCCGATACTTTTTAAGCTTATTCGGGATCTAAGACACGAAGAGAATGTTCGAAGACAAGTAACTAATGGAAAGATGCAAATAATCTGAATCCCAATTTAATTCTAATTTTATCACAATATGATCTTACACTAGTGCCCAAAGACCATAAATCAAGTATATGTGAGAACAATGTCCTTTATTAGGAGGTGAAAAGACTATCATCATTTCCATGAAGATAAGACGCGGGAACAAGAAAATATATAATACTTTAACACGAAGCTTCTCGCGTCAGATGGTCAAAACTCACTCTGAAAAGTGACCGGCGTTAGGACTCCTCAACTTCAAGGTACTGGGAGTGAGAAGCTGCAATGAGTGCAGCTCCAATGCCAGAGCCATCATTGGAAAGCTCAACAACAACGCTCTCTGAAACCTCTTCCCCCAGGAGCTCTTTAAGAGTGTTAATCAGACAATTTCTGAATTCAGGATAGTGCTCAAACAATCCACCATCCAAGGCAATTACAGACCTCTGCTTCTCTCCCTCTTTTACAGTATCTCGTCCCAGTTTTTTGAGAATTCCTAAGATCCCAGCAGCTGAAAGTCGGGCCCCACGAGTGGCAACAATGTCACATATCTCCACAATCATTTTCCTCATTTTTAAGGAAGAATTCGGTACCTGTGACAAAGAAAATGTTGGAAAAAATAACTTATAAAAACTTTCAAATTAAATATTAAAAATTTCAGTTTTCATTTTAATTTTTAAGCTTTCAGTTTAATTTTTAAATTTTTCAGTTTTGTGTTTAATTTTAGATTCAATACAAAATTTAATCCCATTATTATATTTGTAGCATATGTTGAATTTTATTAATTTTCATAATGAGATGGTTGAATTCTTATACCATAAAAATGGGTGGATTTCACATTCTTTGACACAACAAAATGAAACACAAAAATACTCTCTACTCTCTTTTCATACTACTCTTCTGTCATTTTATCTTCTTCTATAAACTTTTGACAATTAATAAGAACTTGTTCTTTCTCTCCCTGTGAGCGTGCCCATAAAAGGAGAATCGACTGCGAGTTATAAGAATTTTATCATGGAGCTGTACAGTGTCGAAAGTACCCGCACGAAGAGGAAGCCACATGACTTTAAGATAGCGATTATCGCGACTCTTAGGCTAGCTTTTTAACTCTATTCTCATATTTACTTTATTTGATTCATGCTTATAATTGATAGTACATTGCACAAATCACGTTAATTTTTACAACAATCTAAAGCCGTGTGGTGGTCTGTGTGATAATAATACTTGGTAGTTGCTAACATTCTCATTGTTATTATGCTTCAATTTTTTGATTCTATTAAATTTTAGAACCTTCTACAATTTTCATTTTGAAACTTACTACATAAATTTTCTTTTGGAAGCTCATAGAAATTTTATTGATTAAGTATTGCACTCTTCAAAATTGCTTCAATATTTTTAAATTTAAGCACTTATTTCATTTTGATAACTTAGTGGAAAGTTTTAAAACTTATATTATTTACTTGATTGATTGACTTGAACATAAAATTAATTGTGACTTGTCATTTTAAACTTCAATATTCATTTAATTTGTTATATTGTTACTTAGAATATTTGAATTAATATTGTTTTGAATATTGTACTTAGTTGAAAAAATTTGACTGTTGGCGTTATTTATCGACAAATTTATATATATTTATAGTTACTTCTCTTTGCCTTAGTAATTCATAGTGTAATAATGACATCTCCTGAAGATGCTAATAGTGCTAAACCAGTAACTTCGATGGAAAAGTTTTAAAAAATGGAAAAAACAAATGGAATATTGGTTGACCGTTTTAGGGTTAATTTCTGCTATAAAAGAAGATAATGAAAGTAGAGAGTCTACCTCTTGTTATAACCCAGAACAAATTGAATTCCATTGTCATAATCGAATTTTAAGTGCTCTTCCTGATAGACTTTGTGATATTTATCAAAATATCAAGAGTGCTAAAGAGCTTTGGAAAACATTAGAGGAAGAATATGGAATTGATAATACTGGAGTAGATAGATTTATCGCGTTAACCATTAACAAATATGTTATGGTGGACGAAAAATCTATGAACGAACAAATCCATCAATTTCAAGATTTACAACACGTAGAAGAAATAGGGTCAAGTTTTAGCGAGGACTATAAGGTTTCATGCCTTATAGATAAACTTTGACCGTTTTGGTCGGACTTTGCTAAAAATCTTAAGACATAAGCAAGGTATTTTTACATTGAACCAAGTATTCAATTCCTTAAGAATAGAAGAACATCATAGAAATTGTATCAACAAAGCTGATGAATCACATGTCAAGGCAAACTTGGTAGAAAATTCAAAAAACCCTACTAGCTCCTCAAAACAATTTAAGACTCAAGGTAATAAGTTTAAGAAAAACTTTCACCGTCATAGGAAAAATTTCCAACCTAAGAATAACTACACTAAGAATAAAAAAGGCAAAGAGAAGAATGAGCAAGGCCATGTTATGTATGTGGAAGAACCAACCATATTGCTCGATATTGCTACTACAAAAAGATTGAGTACAATATTAAGGACAAATTTCAAAAGGATCGAGTAAACATATTGAAGGATGGTGGATATTCCATTAGGTGTGAATCATCAATATCTTTAGTCAATTTTACTTATAATAATAATGAATGGTGGATAGATTCTAGAGCAAATGTTTATGTTTGTTTTGATTAGAGTTTGTTTAAATCTTATCAGACTTCAAGCGGAGGAAGCGTAACTTTGGGAAATGACTCCATCATTCTTGTATTGGGAATTGGAAGAGTCGAGCTTAAAATGACCTCCGGGAAAAGTTTAATTTTAGATCGAGTTTGCCCTGTTCCATAAGTTAGAAGAAATTTAGTTAGTGGATCATTTTTAGTTCAACAAGGTTTTAAACTTGTAATGGAGTCAACTAAGGTTGTTATAACAAAAAATAATGTTTTTGTTGGGAAAGGTTATATTAGTGTGGATTGTTTAAATTGAATATTATTGAAAATCTTTATCATGATTCTTCCATGGTTCTTAATATGGAAGTTAGTTACTTGTGGCATGAACGATTGGGTCATGTTGGTAATATGAAGATCAAGAAACTTAAGGATCTAAACTTGATTCCAAAATCTCAAATTGGTAATAATAAGTGTGAAGTTTGCATACAAGCCAAACAAACTAAGAGACCTTTTAAATCTATTAGATGGGACACAAGCCTTTTAGAATTGATTCATAGTGATGTTTGTGATTCTAATAGATTGCCAACAAGAGCTGGTAATAAATATTTTGTAACATTTATAGGTGACTATTTTAAGTATTGCTATATTCATTTGTTGAAAGCGAAGGATGAACTCTATGATAAATTCAAAATCTATAAAACAGAGGTTAAAAATCAATTAGAACGTAAGACAAACATTTGCGGTCCGATAGAAGAGGAGAATATATTAGGAATAATCTTTAGGATTACTGTGAGAATAATGGTATAATACACGAAGTGACGCTTCTTTATCCACCACAATCCAATGGTATGGTATTGTAGAAAGGAAGAATAGAATTTTAATGGATATGGTAAATACTATGCTCATAAGCTTCGGAGCACCTGAAGACTTATTGGGTGAAGCTGTCCTAACTTCTTGTTATATATTGAATCGAGTAACTATTAAAGACAACATATTAAAGACAATATTAAAACTCCATATGAGCTATGGAAAAAGAGATCTCCTAAGTTAGATTTTCTAAAAGTATGTGGGTGTTTGGTAAAGGTAATTATACCTGATCCTAAAAGAAAGAAAATAGAACCAAAAACCATAAATGTTGTTTTCATAGGATATGCTCAAAATAGTAGTGCAAATAGGTTCTTAATTATAAATTTCGAAGTAAGTGACATTAAAAATAATACTATCATTGAAGTTAGAGATGCTACTTATTTTGAAGATGTTTTCCCATTTAAGACTACAATTTCAAGTGAACCCTCGACTTCCAAGAAAGTGGTTTTAAATAATACTCCATCTAATTCATCTTTAGAAGATAAAGTTGAACATAAACTTTGGGAGAATTAAAAGGACTAGGAAAGAGAAATCATTTGGAGAGTATTTCTTTACATATTTAGTTGAAGGTGAACCCAAAACATATAAAGATGCTATGGTCTCTACTGATGCACCTTAGTGGAAAGAAGTCATCAATGATAAGTACGAGTCAATTATAAGAAATAATACTTGGGTCTTATGTGATTTACCTCAAGAAAGTAACGCAACTGGATGTAAGTGAGTCTTTAAAAAGAAGTTGAAACCTGATGGAAGTATATATAAATATGAAGCTACGTTAGTAGCTAAAGGATTCACCCAAAAAGGAGGAGTTGATTATTTTGATACATATTTTCCTGTTGCTAGAATAACTACTATTAGAACATTGTTAGCATTGAGTAGTATTCATAAATTGATCATTCATCAAATGGACGTTAAGATTGAATTTTTGAATGGTGATTTGAATGAAGAAATATATATGGAAAAATCAGAAGGATTTAAAATCAAAGGACAAGAACATAGAGTGTGTAAATTAATGAAGTCATTATATGGATTAAAGCAAGTTACAAAACAGTGGCATGAGAAGTTCAATAAAGTTATACTAAATTATGGATTTAAAATTAATACACATGACAAGTGTGTATATTGCAAAGAAGATAACAATGAGCGTGTTACACTTTGTTTATATGTAGATGACATATTAATATTTGGGACAAATTTAGGATTTGTTAATGATGTGAAGAGTTATTGGTCAAAAAAATTTGAAATGAAAGATTTGGGAGAAGCTCATATAATTTTGGGAATGAAGTTAAGGAAAACTTCTGAAGGAATTTCACTAAATCAATCTAATGCTATTAAAAAGACGTTGGAAAAGTCTGGACATTATGATAATAAACCAGTTTCCACTCCATATGATTCAAATGTACACTTGAAGAAGAATTTAGGTGAACCAGTTTTGCAATTTAAATACTCTTAAATTATTGGATCTTTGTTGTACTTAGCAAATAGAACAAGACCTGATATAGCCTTTGCTATTGGGAGACTTAGTAGATATACTAACAATCCAAGTAAAGAACATTGGAACATTCTGGAGAGAGTACTTAAATATCTCCGAGGTACATTTGATTATTCTATAAACTATAAAAACTTTCCAAATGTTATTGAAAGATATAGCGATGCAAACTGGATAATTGATAATGTAGATATTAAGTCTACTATTGGATATAGATTCATGCTAAGTAGTGGGGCCATATCTTGAGGTTAAAAAAGACAAACGATTATCTCTAATACTTTAGAGTCGGAGTTAATAACATTAGATACAACATTACTAATGTTGAGTGGTTTAGAGATTTATTATTAGATATACCATTAATAAGTAAGTCAATTCCAGCTATTTCAATACATTGTGACTGTAAAGTAGTAATAGAGCTTGTAAATCAATTTCACTCAAATAAGAAGATGAATAGGCATATTCAAACAAGACTTAAGTCAGTTAAGGCTTTACTTAAGAGAAATGTGATTTCTCTCAATTTCGTGAGATCTTAAAAGAATTTATCAGATAACTTAACCAAAGTTTTACACAAAAAGGGTGTTAATGAATCATCGAGGGGGATGGGCTTAAGTCCGTAAGGGAGTCACCTTCGGGAGTAACCCAGCTGATGCACATTGGAAAGTGTATTCTAGGCATAATCGGAATCAAATCAATTAAAGATTGAATTTTTATTATTGCATTTTCTCGTTTTGGTATAATAATAAATTTGTTTCCTTCTAAACAAAAGGAAACTCAAATTTTTTCCTTTTTGTTGCAATTTTCCTGTTTATTGTTATTTAGAACCTATAAATTGAGGCTCTTGGATTGTAATAGAGATACATTTGATTATTGAATAAATCAACTATCTCCCTTCATTCTTAGATTCTTAGCCCCCCGTTTGTTTCCCATTTTTCCCCCATTAAAATAAAAAATATGACCGTTATTCATCACATCAAGCTACCAAATTTGAATTTCTATATCTCGTGTGGGACCCGTAATGACTATATTTTTCATTCTCATTCTCATTCTTACAAAAATGAGAAACAAGCGGAGCTTTAATCTCTTCTCTTCTATATTGTTCTTGTCATTACAATCAGCATCACCAACCTCTGTGAATGGAAATCCCATAAAGAAGGTTCAATGTGGTAGGAACAACCTGCACTGCGTGACTCGTGATAGCACTATATTTTGTGCTCATCCCTATGGTGATAGTGCTATGCTTTTGATGTTAGGAAGGGTTTAACCCTGAATGAGTGTCGAGGCGAGAATTCTTGCGAGGTGTGGGTCACACGCACCCTTGGAAGACTCACCTATGTAAGAGTTGTCATGAGGCTGTGATAATGGGATTGAGCTGAGCTATTCCCTAGAGACTCTTACTAGAATCAAGATAAGAGCGCATTGCCATTAACATCGCTACCAGCTATGAACTGAGCCTAAATCGATACTCTGTGTGGAGCAATTGAAGTTTGGTTAAAGGGACCTAATTTAAGGCTTATTCCATTATAGTTCTTTCAAATGGAAATTGTTATCACTAAGTGAGGTTCAAATCCAAAACACACTTACACCTATTACATAGTATAATATTGCCACTATATACATATATAATTTTTTTGAAAGTTTTAAAAATTGTGGGGAATTGTTGGAAAAAATAAGTTATAAAAACTTTCAAATTAAATGTTAAAAATTTCAGTTTTCATTTTAATTTTTAAGTTTAAGTTTTATTTTTTAATTTCTCAGTTTTGTGTTTAATTTTAGATTCAATACAAAATTTAGTCCCATTATTATATTTGTAACATATGTTGAATTTTATTAATTTTCATAATGAGATGGTTGAATTCTTCTACTATAAAAAAAGGTGGATTTCACATCCCTTGACACAACAAAATCAAACAATAAATACTCTCTCCTCTCTTTTCATACTACTTTTCTCATACTACTCTCTTGTCATTTTATCTTCTTCTATAAACTTTTGGCAAATGATAAGGGATTGTTCTTTCTCTCCATATGGTCGTGTCCCTAGAAAGAGAATCGGCTGCGAGCTATAAAAGTTTTATCTTGGAGCCGTACAATGTCGAAAGTATCATCACGAAGGGGAGGCTACACGATTTTAGGACAACGATTATCGCAACTCTCTTAGGCCAACTTTTCTTACTCTATTCTCATATTTACTTTATTTGATTCATGATTATAATTGATAATACATTGCACAAATCATGTTAATTTTTACAACAGAAAATAGAGACAATGTGTAGCTGCATTACGATTTTGCACTAGATGCTAACTTCAATTGTTCGTCAAGTGCATTCCAGTCAACATAGTAGACAAAATGCTATCAAAGATGTCAAAATATGCTAGTCCTACTAAGAAATAGATGACCATTTTTAAACTTATGCTTGTCGAATAACACAAATTATTTTACCTCCAAGATATCATTTAATTTGCTCCCAACCACTTTTAGATCAGTAGAAGTGTCATGATGCATTGCCGCAATGTCAGGAGTCCTGCACGGTAGCACTTCGTTCAGTATCTATATTAGAAATGGGTCAATTTTCTTAGATGAAATGGAGTAGTATTGTGAGGATCTATGTGATTGACAGATATAAGTTATAAGACGTCCTATAAACTGTTATTAGAACTATGGTTTAAGGTGCCCGGTGTTGGACTGCTAAAAGGACAAAATGTGCATATGCATAAGATGAATGCATCTGAAAATGAGGACTTTCAGACGGATATAAGGTCATGCTACAATGGTTGGATTAAAAATGAAAAATATATCAGAGTGGAGAAGAAACAAAAAATGAAGAAATTAAGGGTAGGGAGACTTGGGTTTTCTTGTGTAAAACCTGAAGAAATGTTCACAAGAGCAATGTGAAAGATTTGATGTGGATCATCCCAATGTGATTGCAAACGATTTGATTCTTTGGACCTTTCAGTAAAAAATAATGCTGATTAAAGTTCTGTAGCTTCCCAAGTTTGTTGGCAGTAAGACTAACTTTCGTACTATAGTTGTATCAGTATTGAAATTAGATGCTACATTAGTTTACAGACAGATTCTATTATCCTGACAGCATTTCCATCGTTACTCACCTTAATATGAATGGATCTCTAAGTTTAGGCGGGATGTCATCCCCAAAAAAGGATGCTTCTTCTGCCATCCTGCACAAGACTCGACGTACAATTTCTCCCAAATACATGCCAGAAATTATCTTCTCAAAAATCTGCAGCAATAAGTAATGGGAGAGATCAGTCATAAAACCTGGAAGAAGTAATAAGAGCAAGGTACTGAGTGACCTGCTCGCCGGGATTTAAGCTTTCAGCATCAAGAATTTGATCATATTCTGTTAACGGAAGATGTGATGATCGGAAGTTACCCCATTCCATGTTTATAACCTGCAAAAGTGTGAAGTAAAATTTAGTTACGAAATACATAAATAAGATGTTCGTGCATGGTCATAATCAGCAGGTGAAGATTGATGAAGCATAAAGGGAAGGATAACCAGTGATGAAAGGACAATCTAAGCCTTGATCAACTTTAGATGACAATTTATGAACGAAGAATGCTAACCATTTCCCCAGATTTGGGAAGTAGACCTTGCCACTTTGGAATAGCATTAGCCCGTTCTACATATGCGGCATTGGTTCCAGTACCCAAGATCACCGCAGCAATCACATCAGCATTGTTGTATCGTCCTCCGGCTAAAGTTCCAACCGTATCATTGACCTGCATACCGAGCAAGAGATTGAAGTTTTAGTTTATTAGCTATTCTATCAGTTAAAATATGATGTAAAAGGTTGGTCAAAAGGGAGGCTGGACCAAGGTTTTGGTCCAGAGTTCAATCTTCACTGCTCTCTCGAGCATATTGGGTTAAGTTCAAGGAGAAGTAAAAGTTACTCTAAAAAGAAGTACAAGATACTAGTAACTTTGTATTTCCAAACATGTTCGGATAACATATTTTTCTTAGTTTTTAATTAAAAAAGAATTACTAATTTGAAAGGTAATTCTGATATTTAGTGTAAAAATTACTAGTTTACTTATTTTCTGATTGGTAAACCAATAAATTTAGCCAAACAAAGTGCTTTGGGCATGTCCAGAAAAATACAGGTAAAAGGAATCTTGATAGAGTAAAATATGTTTTATCAAAAATATTGTAATGCACAAGCAAGCTGAAAGCAGAAAACTTTCAAGAGAGGAATCAAGACTTACCAAAGCAGTCACATGCATATCAAGGCCAATTCTTTCCATTGCTTTAGTCAACTCTTCGACAATATCTTGTCCTATCTGTTTAAAATCATCAATAAAAAATACACTGGAGCATTAGAATCCTATGAGTAAATATGTCTAATCCACAGGTCAGTGAGCACACTAATGGAATAGTAACCACAGATCTATCCAGCACCAGCAATTAACCATCAAAATTTGATATAAAAACTTTTCTGAGTCGTCAGGAGATGGAAGGTAAACTAGAAAAAATAAAGAAATGCAGGTTCTGTTGATGAAATCAAGAATCAGGCAACAAGATAATTCACGCCCACAAATACATAGGGGG